AGTAGAAATAAAGTAAATAATTAATATTAGATGACAAACTGAAAAAAAAAAAAGCTAAACAGAAATATTTGGGGGAAAAAAACTAAGCACATAACAAAATTATAAAATTAAAAATAATAAAATTAAATGAAAATATAAAAAGAAAAGCTAATGAAAAATGTTAAAATGTATACATTTATAAAAAAAATTATAAATATAAAATGCATATTATATACATTTTAAATTAGCAAAAATTTATAAAAACTATAATAATAATATAAAAACCGTAAAATACTGCGTGTGATTCGGGTTTGAGGCGAGGAGAATGAAACCTACCTTGATGTTCCCTGGATTGTGCTGAAGATCCCAGGAGGAGAACCAGCAGCAGGACCTGAGTGAGAACGTTCTGAAGATCTCTCATGCTCATCCTGCACACAAACACACACACACATCAGACACACACACACACACACACACATCAGACACACACACACGCACACACGCACACACACACACAGAGAACGCGATCAGGACTGGATCTTCACATTGTGCTTTCATTTGATTCATTCGACGTGAACTTCATTTGCAGGAGTCAGTTGGGAAAAATCCCAGGTTTTCTCATTAGACTCATGCAGAAACCCATCCACACCAGAGCTGAGCCTCGTTAGTCGTCATGTAAACGATCTCACTCACACGGATGGTAATTACTGGCAGCTGGTCGTATTGCTTACACACGGGTTATGATCTGATATTCACCTTCTATATTCCATTACGGAGGTGCTGGAGATCTGACCGCTTGTTTCCGATCGGTATTAGGATTGTGGTTAATGAGCATTAGATCATCTGAGACTGACACACACACAGATACACAAAAAATAAAAAACGGAATATTGAAATTAAAATTGATATTGCAATTGATAATACAATTTTTTAAAATCTAAAAAAATTTTAAAATCTAAAATTTTAAAAATCTTTTTTTTTTTATAGATTTTTAAAAAATATCTCTCTCTCTCTATAAATCAATTACATTATTACATTTAAATTTATTCAATTACTAAAATTTATTCAATTAATCATAAATGAATAAATACATTACTATAGTAATAATACTTTTTAATAATTGTTATTTGATTTTACAACAGTAACATTACAGCAAGATAAGAAACTTTAATAATTAATAAATACATATATAACTATATTAATAATACTATTTAATCATAATTATTATTATTTTATTTTACAAGATTAAAATTACAGCAAGATTAGAAACTTTTCAAAAAATAAATGATCTTACGAGTTACGTCTGTAAATATGCGTATGAATATGAGATCTGCCTTACAAAAGGAGTTCCAGATGTTTTTGTTATTGTTATGATTTATTCTTCATCTCTGATTTAATGTCTGTTTTCTCTACAACACAGATGTAAACAAAGCGGACATACTGATGCTGTAATAAAATGCTAATTTAAGATTAAAGGTGAGAATAGTTTTCACAAGCTGTTACTACAACATGAATTATCTATTAAACACTAAATCTGAGGTCGTACTAATATTTGTTCATTTCATAAACGGCGTGTAATTGCTTTCAAGCGTCTTCATACAGTATCACCTTCTGATCGAATGACCTAATAAAAGTCTTTCATTCGAGCGCCGGAGGGGAGAAACGCAGACTTATTTTCTCATTAAGAATCTGTCACACTTCTAATTGTGTGTTTTATTCTAAAAGCTCTTCATGTTTAATTCAGGCCTTTGTGTTGTACTGCAAACCCTCAGGACATCTGCATAATTTATGCACCGAACAAGAGAACACGCCGTTAAAGTTTGGACTATTGCAAACATTAATAAACTCACATGCATCAGCGGGATGAATTATTAAAATGAGAATCTAGTCTGGTTCAAAATGAGGCTGTCGGCACATGTTCCTTCATCGCTGCTCATTTCCATCATGTCATTCATCTTCGTTACGTCTCTCAGAGTTCACAGGTCTCCATCCGACGGACCTGAAGCTGCGCTCTCTTCAGACGGAGCCGCTTCAGAGACGCTTCAGAGATGCTTTAGTGACGCTTCAAAGGCTACGTTCACACTGTGAGCCTTAGTGCTCAATTCCAATTTTGTGCTCAGATCCGATTTTTTTGTATAGCTGTTAGGGATGTAACGATTAACTGCGAGCCGGTTGAAAATCGATTAAACTTGAGTTTAAATCAGAGCTTCTCTCTTAAAAGGACACATTTTCTGCCCCGTGTTTAATTTATCTACTCACAGCGGAAAAAGATCAGAGAGTCGGAGTACATTTAGAGTTTCTCTAAATGAGGAAGACTACAAAACAAGTCACATATGATATAAGAGATCTGCACTTAAGCCCAGACATGAACCGACTCCAGCACATCCATCGTATTTGATCATCAGGCTTTTATGGCTCATATAGTCTGATAGAGTGAGAATATGAAGGAAAAAACAGCTCAGTTTTATTCAGAGGCTCCTCAGAAGATGTGAGATGTTTTGGAGGCTTGTGAAGATCATTCCTCCGCTGAGGAACAGTGAAAGTAAAGCTTCTGGAAACAAACGCTCCTCAAAAGATCCTGAGGATCAGATTTGAGACTCTAAAACATGATTGATGGAGAATCAAGTAAAGCTGAGCTGCTTCAGTCCAGTAAGTGTTCATCTGGAAATATTACTGCAGTTATTCTGA